CTCTCTCTATTTTCTTTGACACCAATCGATCGATCGTTGTTCGGATTTGATTTCTCTCTCTCTCTCTTACACTTCGCATCTCTACCTCCAACTCATCATCGTCTTCCATCCGCCTTCGCCGTTACTACAACCTAGGGTTTCGACTTAGGATTTTTCGGCGATGTCGAATCCCTTTACTTCGCTAGATGTGGAGGTGGTGCAAATGGCTTTCGTTGTCCGCCGTCGTGAAGCCTTGAAGAAGAAGTAGATCTGAATCTTGAACAAATAACTAGTGGCTTCATGGAGGGTCAAATCTAAGTGCATTCGGTGGGATCCGACTCCGGCTCTTCCTCTCCCACCGATGCCTCCGTCACTCTACCGTCGCAAAGCCGCCGCTAATCGTGTACATCCACGGTAGCGACTTCATCGAGTATCGACTCGCACCAGAGCATTGGCTTTCAGCGACCTATGACAATGCCATAGACGTGCTGTACTAGATTAGAGCTTCTGAAAATGAGTGGTTGCGTGAGTTTGCTTTGATCTATGTGTTTGTTAAACAAATAAGAAAGCTTTGATCTGTTTGATCTGTTGCTTGTGTGTGTTATTTATTTATTTATTTTTGTTGGTGGTGGTAGTTGGTTGATTGGTTGTTGATGATGAAACAGATTGCAACAGATAGAAATGAACACACTCTTTTTCTGTGTGTGGGGACTTTCAATGGCAACCTAAATTAACAGATAGAAAATAATTTGAACAGATAAAAAAAATAACATATAAGAATTTTTGAACATATAAATTTCAACAGATATATTTTATTTGGACAAATATTTGAACAGATAAGGAAAATTTGAATTGAAAAGATCAAAAAATTAAACAGGTAGGGTAAAAAAATTGAATAAATGGGGGAAAAATTAAACAGATAGGGAAAAAATTTGAACAAATAGGAAAAATTTCTTAAACAGATAGACATAAATTTGAATAGGTAGTCAGAAAAAGTCAATAGACAAAAAAAATCAATAGAAAAATTAAGTAGTAAAATTGGAAATAAAATGTCCTTCAAAACAATAAAATGTACTTGTGAGCATAATATTTCACAAAGGGTGGATTTTTCATCAAAGAAAAATACTCATGCGACCTAATGCCTTATACTCCCCTTAAATTGAAAATTTTAACAATTTTCTCAATTATATATATGTCCTTTTTATTATTTCTTTTTTTTTTTTTTAAATAAATTTGACACTATTGATTGGATCAAGCACATCAAATTTATGATTTATTTGCTTTACAAATAAATTTAAGAAAGCAATTCCTTTTAGAGGAAATATCATTTTACCCCCAAAACTTTCACGCATTTTTCAATTTAACCCCCAGACTTCGATTAATATCAATTTGACACCTGAACTTTCGAAATTTTGATCAAATTTACCTCTATTGTCACATTCCGTCTACAATTAGATGGAATGTACTGACGTGGAATCAACATTCATTGGAAATTTTATTTTACCCCTCAAACTATATCTTTAAAATCAATTTTCCCCCCAAATTAAAAATCAATTTGTACCTCAAACTATACCTTAAAAATCAATTTGCCCCACATCAGCATATTTCATCCAATTGTTGACGAAATGTGACGACAAGGGCCAAATTGATCAAAATTTTGAAAGTTTGGGTATAAAATTGATATTAATCGAAGTCTAAGGGTTAAATTGAAAAATGCATGAAAGTTTGGAGAGCGAAATGATATTTTCTCTTCCTTTTATTAAATACTTCGTTAGCATTTTTCAATTTTATGTGCGTTTCTTATAGCTTGAGATTTTATTGATTTAAATGTTAGGATGGTTTCTATTATAAATCATATGTATGATGTCAAAATAATTTTTAAATTTTGATAATTAATTTTTACACCAAACCAAATTAAACTAAGTCACGTGTCTCAAATTAATAATACTCAATAATTAGTCTTAGTCTTAGTCTTGTCCCTCCTTAGTTAAAATCTTAGTCTTGTCCCTAAATAATTATAACAGAGAATCATACACAGAATGCGAAAGAGAAGCTGATGTAGAGTTTCAAGTAAATGGTAGTAGAATTTTGCCACTCAATAGTCTCTGAGAAAGTCTAAACATATCGTGTCCCACTTTAATGTGAAATTTTAGTGTTTTAAGGTTACCTTTCACTATTTTCATAAATTTTGCTTGGTAACATTAATGATGATTGTGAGTTTAGTGATGGTTGTGAAATTTCACTTTTTGAAAATATTGCCTGTAAAATTGGATTGTACTATATTAATCTTAATTATTATTTTTATTTTTAGATTGAATATGTTAATCTTAAATTGGACAGTAAAATTTCAATATGTTTTATTTAGAATTTCTATGTAATTTTAATAGATTTCGATAAAAGAATTCTAACCAAATCCATTTGAAACCGACATTTACATCAAACAATACGAGATTTTAAAGTTTAAAATAAATTAAGAATATTTTGGTGTACTGTACTTTGTTGTTGGTGCTACAAAGTTAGGATCTTCTACCATAAGTATAATTTACTTAACACAAACATGCAAATGAGTTTTTGTGCCCATCCTACCAACTTGATCTATAATAATGATACATAATTTACAACGATATATATATATGTTATTTATAAATATAATAAACATGCGACAATGATAATGTTATAATACACACTCCTCAAGAAGAAATGTATTATGTGCAAGTTATGATATTTTATGGTGGTAATACCACAATGTATCATAACCAAATGTCTTTCTGTCATAATGTAATGAATCATAATCAAACACCTTTTAGGCAAAACTAAAACCTATTCGGTCATAACCAAAATTATAACCACATAAGTTATAACTAATAATAACTAACACCATAATGTATTATAATCAAATCATAATCAAATCGTAAATAACACCACAATAGATTATAACCAAATATCACTTAAGGTGTAATAAAAATAGGGAGATTTGATGATAGACCCCTCACTGTCTAATTTGCCTTTTAAAAGGATAAGAATTATATAGGTACTTTCAAAACTCCCTAATATCTTAAAACTTGTTTCTTTTACTATATTAACCTCATATCTATTAGCTCTCATATTAAGCCATCTTCACAGTGTATTTTAGAATAAAATGTTACTTTGAATCATAGTAAACTTTACTCTTTACTCTGAATCAGAGTAAAGTTTACTATGATTCAAAGTAAAATTTTATATTGTTAAGCAAATCAACATGTTTTTAACCAGAGTAAAATTTTACTCTGAATCAGAGTAAAATTTACTATGATTCAAAGTAAAATTTTATATTGTTAAGCAAATCAACATGGTTTTAACTAGAGTAAAATTTTATTTTGAATCATAATAAACTTTATTCTGATTTAGAGTAAAATTTTACGCTGAAAGTACAATTTTACTATGATCTAAGGAGAATATCCACTTTGAATCACACTAAGTGTCATGTATTAATAACCTTGTGTGTTTGGTTGATGAGAAAATCACATAAACATAACAAGAAAACCAAATATAATTTGGTTGCTGAGAAAATCAACATGTTTTTTTAACCAAAGTAAAATTTTATATTTTTAAGCAAATCAACATTTTTTAACCAGAGTAAAATTTTACTTTGATTCAGAGTAAATTTTACTCTGATTAGTAAAATTTCTGTGTGAAATTCTTATTAGAGAGATTCTTATCAGAGAGAGAGAGAGAGAGAGAGAGATAGAAATTGAATAGATCATCCATTTTGATAGATCGATCATCCATTGAACAAGCTGAGTATGAACAGATCAATTCAAAAACTAGTAAAAACACAAATCTATATTACAAGGATATATAACCACAAAACACACGAATCAAAAACTAAACAAAAACATCCAAATATCAACATAATCATAATCTGATTGAGGTGACCATTTCAGATAACACATCCAAATATCTCTCTTTATTTTGATTTCAAAGAATACATGTGTTCAACAACACTCCACAAATATATATATATATATGTACATATACATATATATTCAAAATTCAAATGTGTTTTAAAAAAATATTGCGTAATATAAATGCATACACTCACTTACCGATATATATACATATACACATGTATGTATGAGTCATATATACATACATACATGCACACACAAATATATAAATACATACATACACATATACATAGGAAGAGCAAATCAGCGGAGACGTGGCGGAGCTTGGCGTGTTTGCCGGAGGGAGTGGCGGAAGAGGATTGGACGCCGGCAGCATTGGTGAGGTCGATACAAGAGTTTCAGAGGCGGTAGCTAAGCTTCCAGATCTGAAGCTTGAAGGAGTTAGGAAAGGGAGAGATGGAGAAGAGAGGGAGAGAAGGTGGGGAGAGAGTGGGTGAAAAAGGTGAGAAAATTTAGTTGAGGGTATAATAATCTAATAAAATATTTAAATAATAAATTTTATCCTTTATGCAAGATTTTATAACTATGAGGAGGTTTAGAAAGTATAATTTTTTTCTTAGTCCTTTTAACAATGAAAGGAATGTAAAGAGGGTTTATAGCCAAATTTCCCATAAAAATAACAATCACAATAGATCATAACTAGTCATAATTAAAACTATAATGAGTTAATTAATATTATAATGAGTTATAATTAGGTCACAATCAACACATAATGAGTCATAACAAAAGACCACAAAAGTCGTAAATTGGGCATATGGTACACCCATTATTATAGAATTTCCTTGCAAACTAACAAACTAAATCTATGATAAGGACACATAATTTATAACCATATCCATGGTAAAAAACTCCAATATTGTCATCATGCAAACTAACAAACATTCCCAAGGAACTTACAACCAAGGACATGGGTGAGAATCCATGCCTCTTGAAATCTACTAATTGTTGCATATATAGAATTTTCATCAGAAATGAATCAGTAAATCACATTTTCTTTTCTCAATACAACAGAAAATTGAGGGATGATTACTTGGAATAGAAAATAGTAGCTTATTTATAGAAAAATCACAAGACTTAGCCTAATATACACACAATATGTGCATCAATATTTTGATTTCATTTCACTTTTCTCTTTCTGTCTTCATAGTCTACCAGACAAGCAACACACCTAAGACCGTCCAACAAAAGAAAGAAAAGCCAAGAATTCATCACATGTTCTACACGAAAATGTTTAATAATACTTACCGGGGCACTAACATTTAACATGCCAAGGTCCTGCTATACATAATGAGGCTTTCTTCGATGTAAGGATGGTTGCTAGTCTCTTCATAACAGACTGAAGTGGACACTGAGTCAGCATTAGGGTTCCAACTGGCAATTTGCATGATGTTCTCAATCTCTTTTACCACCTCACCCATTGTAGGCCTCGCAGCTCCTTCTTCTTCGACACACCTCATTGCCAAATCCACAAATTTCTCTAAACCTTTCAATGCGGTGCCCAAAATGTTTGGATCGATAATCTCATGAAGATCGTATAGATCCTTTGTCTCGTCTATTTTCTGCCTTACCTCTCTTACAATGTATTTGCCTTTCTCGATCGGCTGTTTCGCAGTTATCAGCTCAATCATTAGCACTCCAAAGCCATAAACGTCACTCTTCTCAGTCAACTGTTGAGTCATGCAATATTCAGGATCCAAGTAGCCCTACACCAATAAAAAAATCCCGCTTTCAGTCGAAAATACTAAGCAATATCAAGCTTCTTCAAAGAACTCAAAATATTACCTTCGTGGTTCACTACATAAATTTGTTTAAGATATTCTTTTCAGCAAAGATAAAATGGTGTGCATCCTTTTTGACAATGAATGAGACATCACATGATCCAACAAAATAAATAAATAAAGAGACATCCCACACACCAGTAGCATGTAGATAGCAGGTACTAGGTAGGCCTTATAAAATTTATTGGATCTCTACAACCTTGCCCGAAATAGGATTACTGATAGTTAAAAATATATATGTATATCTATATGTACAAATTTTCAAGTCATACTGAGCAATATTTTTTTGCCTTGAAGACCTACAAAAGTTGTATTTCATAATGAGAAAAATCCCCATTCTCTATTGTCCTACAGCTATTTTTCTTCAAGATACCATTCCATAAGGTAAGAGATGCAATACAGTGACGGTAGATGGTAGTGTTAGGGGAAGGGGTAGACCTAGATTAACGTGGATTAATGTAGTAAATAGAAATATGAATTTTCTTAATTTGACTAACGAAATGGCCTTGGATGGATAGAGTTGAGTGGAAAAGAAGGATTTATGCAGTCGACCCCATTTGATGGGACTTAAAGCTTGGTTTAGTTTGGTTTAGTTTATACCATCCCATGCGATTTCTTCTTTTTTTTTTTGTTTTTTTTTTCTACCTCAACCAGCTACCAACCATAATATAATGGGGAAAAAATTACACAACCTGTTTTAATTTTCTTCTCATCAAAACAAAATTGAGGGTTTTATTTATTTGATTCGGTTCTTTTACAAATGGAGGTCTATGACTACAAATAGAAATATGAATTTTCTTAATTTGACTAACGAAATGGCCTTGGATGGATAGAGTTGAGTGGAAAAGAAGGATTTATGCAGTCGACCCCATTTGATGGGACTTAAGGCTTGGTTTAGTTTGGTTTAGTTTATACCATCCCATGCGATTTCTTCTTTTTTTTTTTTTGTTTTTTTTTTCTACCTCAACCAACTACCACCCATAATATAATGGGGAAAAAATTACGCAACCTGTTTTAATTTTCTTCTCATCAAAACAAAATTGAGGGTTTTATTTATTTGATTCGGTTCTTTTACAAATGGAGGTCTATGACTACTTGAGACCAATTTCATGAGAACTTTTCTCATTACTGAGAACTGAGAACTTCAAGAACAAATAGATTTTAACTATGAATAAGATGCTTTGTAAATACTTCAACCAACTTCTAATTTATAGTAGTTTGCTGATATTTCAAAACCAGGGTTTAGAGGAAAATTTACTGACCATTGTCCCCTTGATTTGGGTGGTAATATGACAGTTTTCAGGGTCACCAATACTCTTGGACAGGCCAAAATCAGAAACTTTTGCATTCAAGTATTCATCTAGTAAGATATTGTTTGATTTGATGTCCCTATGTATGATTGGAGGGTTGGCAAGCTCATGTAGATATTGCAAACCTCTTGCTGCTCCAAGGGCTATTCGAAGTCTCCTCATCCAATCCAGCCTGAGTCCAGATTTCCCTGCATAGGTAATATGCACTTTAATTGTCACTGTTTAGTCAAATGCATGTATTGCCTAAAAACATAAGTCTGGTAGTGCAGTTTACAAACTCTAGGGATTCCTTTTTTTATTATACTTTTTTCCTGTTCTTTTGGCTAGAGGAGATACGTGAAACGTTCAAGTTTCGACTGAGGTTAGAGAAAGATAAAACTACAGAAACATTTTTTTTTTCTACTTTACACTCTTGTGGTTTTAACCCCAGAGAACTTTACCTCTCTAACATTTAAATATATGCAAATAACTCTCACGAGATTTTGGACTAAAATGCAAAGTTAACTTTGTTAACAGAATGTACAAGATGACCTTATGCCTTCATTGTTTTCTTTTACTTATCTTCTCTTTCACCCTTATCTAACTTGAATCACATTTTAAACGAATCAAACCATATTAGCATAAATCAAACCGCATATTAACACAAATTTTCTTGCTTTTACTTAATTGCTAATTTAATTTTTAATCCATATATAATCACATATTAAATTACACACAAACATATGTATATAAGTATATGCATATGCTAAGAAGCATGGACACGGACATGCGACATGACACAAACACGCCAATTTTTAACAAATGCAAGACACGACACATGGGGGACACGCATAAAATATATAATTTTATATATTTATTATATGTTATATATATGAATATATCATTCAAAGATAATAAAAAAAAATGCAATGTGACACTAATTCCTATAAATTTATATATTTTTGTATTATTATTATATCTTAAGCTATTTTGTTCAAACTTATAATTAGTTTTACCTGTGTCTAATCGATAGACACGTGTGTTTAAGCAATAGACATTTGTATCCTCCAAGTGTCCAAAGAGTGTTAGTGTCCGACACGGATACGACACGGATACGTCATCTTCTTAGAAGTGTTCGTGCTTCTTAGTGCGTATGTATCTGTACTATAACGTCATAACCCACTTGTGCACTGCCTTGGCACATCAACCCACCCACTTCACCATAGATCTGTTCTACATGACCTTGCCAACAAACCCACCATGTGTTTTGCATCGATCTCAACTGTTTTATTTATTTATTTTATTTTTTATTTTTTAAATCTTGCATTGATTCAACAACACACCCATAGATACAATCAGAAGGGGAGTATGAGGTGAAAAGAGGGGTCATGGGGCAACAGGAAGGAGGCGAGACAGGTGGTAGAGGTGGCGGGGATGGTGGTAGGTGACTGGCAAAGCAGGTGGGCGGAGGTGGGGAGGTGGAGGGAAGGCAAGTCAAGTCGGTGGTGGTGGGGGTGGTAGGAATTGCAGACTACGGAGGTGGTGGTGGTGGAGAAAGAGGTAGTGGTGGCAGGGGGTGGGTGAGTTAATATTAGGATTTTTAAGTTAGGATTTTCAATTGGGGAAGAAGATTATGAATGGAAAAACAGTCTTTTTGTAATAAAATTTGATAGACTTTTTTTTTTTCATGCAACTTTCAAAATCTGTGCGACACAGTTTTTGTTAATTTGGATGTAATTAGTGACAGCAGGAAGGTAAAATGCATTTTACTTTCTTGATTTCTTTACTTATTTTCAGCTACATTCAAATCAGGCAAGGTATTTGCTTGAACAAATAGTTACGACAAACAAGAATGCGTATATAGCGATCCCGGGTTTACCCTTGTTGTACAGTGATCCGGGCATGTGTCCGTGGATGTTGGTGTTAACTTGGAAAGCTGTAAGCCCGTAGGGCATTTTGTTTTGATGTTAACATGTAATACATATGTATATGGAACTCTAATGAATAAAGGAATATGGATGGTTTGTATGTAAATGCATGTCTTATCTGATGGGTTAATGTTGTTATTTTGAGGGCGTTACAGCGTACACGTTAAAAATTGCCACTATATGCATCATTATAAAGTAAGCAACTGAAGAACAAGTATCAATATCCATATTGGTGGAGTGGAATAGGAAATAAGTGTCAAGTACCTGAAAGAGACTCCTTCAGTGTACCATTTGCAATATACTCATACACCAACATTTGTTCGTCTTGCTCAAAACAGAAACCCACAAGGCTGACAACATTCTTATGATGAACCCTGGATAGAAGCTCAAGCTCACTTTTAAATTCAAGATCACCCTGCGTAGATCCTTGTTTAGCCCTCTTGATGGCAACCAGTTGCTCACTGGGAAGAGTTCCTCTATATACCTGTAAATAAAACAAAGAACTGTGAATGTGCAAGTTGCACAGCACAAAGAAATACGTTGCAAAAATATTCTAGGATGGATAAGAAACATGTTGAAGAGAAAAGATTAAAAAAAAAATGGAGGAACAATGCTCCATATTTAAACTAAATCAATAATTATTGAAAAGAAAAAACATAGGGTTGTTTTCTAGGAATTTTCAAAGCGAGTTTGCAAGCACACAAAAGTTCAATAATTACTAAATTTATCAATGATATTCCGGAAATAGTTCATACAATTTCAAAGATCAGTCACCTACTTCTCATTTCAAAAAAAAAAAAAAAAACTGCTTGTAATTGTACTCTTAAAAAAAGTTCAGAGACTTCTGTCACAGTTGAAAGGTCCAAAACTCAGTCTGTAAATATGGAAACTAGTAATATATGAGCTATGTTGTACCAAGAAGAGAAAAGAATCACAAACAATCTATTCTCTAGCAAAAAGAATGTAACAATTAATCTTTCAACAATCTATTCTCTAGCTATAAGAATACAGAAGTCAACCTTTCCGTAGCCACCAACTCCAATACAGTTGGCATCTGAGAAAGTGTTTGTGTATTTCTTAAGCTCTTCAAATGAGAAACACCTAGCTCCTTTTAATTGAGGAGCACCACCATTGCTTTCATTTCGGTGCCAAGAAGCTGCATTGGTATGACATCGAAGCTATGACTAACACCCAAGATAAGACATGATTACCAGGAAATACATTGTCAAGATTAACTCCTAATTTTACCAAAAGGATTGTTCTGCTTATCAGAAATTTCAGCTCTTCTCTTTTGATGGAAAGCATAAATTCCTGCAAGGAGACACAATAACACAAGCAAAGAACAACCAACTGCCACTCCGATAATGCCAGCATTTGATGACTTCTTAGTTCCTGTAGATTCTTTTACATGAGAGAGAGAGACAGAGAGAGAGAGGGAGATTAGAATGGGAAATCACATGTATATATGTACTTTATACCTGCAAAATATGAATATGGGTCTGCAATGAAAAACAAGGGCCCAAAAGGCTTCATAGGATGGAAAGTCATGTTGGACAGCACAAACGCAATCCCAGAAATTCCAGTTCGATCAAAACGCTCTACGCCATATGGAAAAACTTCTAAGCTTAGAATGATGAAAGAATCATCTGGATTTTTACTCAGAGAAACTGAATCCACAGGGAGTTGATAGGACTGAAAAGAACGCATCAGATAATTCTCGAGAGATGTGTAGATATTTGAGTTTCTAACGTTAAAGGAAGGAGCTCCGAGAATTAGCAAACCCGTATATGGATAAGCACATCTACAGTTGGGGCTGGATATTTGATGTGACTTGCATGTAACTTGCATACAAGTCTTTGGTTCTGTTGAATATGAGGAATTTGACTGTTGAATGATGCAGTATGGTTCTGTCCCTTGTGCGCCCTCGCAAACTGGATTTCCTACAAGTCTACAGAAAATAACAGAAAAGTACACCAATGAGGTTATAGAATGATAAACCAAAGAACAGTAAATAGATTGCATGTCCAGAAATGGAACTAGTTTTAGTTCTTTAACACCATCTTACTGATGGAATAGCCAAAACAGTCTTACTACTTACATTAACTCAGAGTTAAATCGCTTTCCCACCATATAGTCAGTTATGTAATTGTTCTGCAAATCTATAAGTTGCAAGTGGTTGCTATTGTTGGAGTTGACAACCAAAGTGCCATTAAGCTTGTTGTTCCTCAATACACTGACACAGCATGCCAAAACAAATTGCTTTGATTATAATGGGCATGACATAACATAAACAACTAGAATCAATCATATTAGAACCCATGGAGGTTCCATTTTTTTTTTTTTACTTTGTATTCTAGATGATTATATGAAATGCAGTATATGAGATTAAACTGATACTCACACTTTTCTTAACAGTGGAAGGCTGAAGAAGACATTTGGAATTTGACCTTCAAGTCCTGTGTCTTCCATCATTCTACAAGTACAATGTTAGCGGAAACATAATTGTAGTGCATTGAAACTTCTCATTTTAGCTGACAAGCTGTTTGCAAAATTGCAAGCACAAAATTGAAAGAGTAACGTCTACATCAATTTTAACATTTAGGAAGCTGACATCAACAAAGAAAATAAGTGAAGTAAACAGAAGAAAATAATAAATACTTGAAATTTTTTCTATGTACAATATTGAGTTATCCTAAGTCATGTCAGAAGTCATAGTGACTCTAGCTCAACTCAACAAGCGGTTGTTCCAATTACTTGGGGTTAGCTACACGAATTAATTTCCACTAGTTGGCTCCATTTGATGTCATATCATCAGTTAGGTTTATGGAAATCATCCTTTCATAACACCTCAACGCATGTTCTCCTTGCCTTTATTTCTTTTAAAAGGATGTTGTGCAACTTGGTGTAAAGCAAAAGACAAACGTTCTTCATGTTCTCTATTGTATTCACCATATACATATAAAACTAAATCAGAAGGTTATAAGGTTATCGGGGTAGGCATGCATTATGGTTTAATAATTGTTAGATAGCTTGATATATATTGTTGGGCCCATTTCCTAACAACTTAGGCTTTTGGAAAAATTGATGACTTAACATGGTATCAGAGCTCTAATTGAGAGAGGTTTTGGGTTCAAGTCTCCAAGTTAGCACTTGGTATTATATCCCCATTTGGTTTCTTCCGGGCTTGCACATGAGGGAGGGCGAGGCCATTTCCTAAAAGCTTAGGCTTTTGGAAAAATTGACTTAACAATAATGTTGGCGATCCGAAGCACATTTTATGTAATTTTCTTAGCTGAAATGCAATGTGCTTCGACGAATAAGTGGTAGAGAACAAAAAATTGATTGAAACTGTTAGACTTGTCCCACATTGTCTCTCTAAAACACCCAAGCTTGGTTAATATACTTGAGAGACCCCTCCACTCATTGCCAATTGATTTTGAGTTGGACGCTTTAACATGGTATCAAAGATGGGGCTTGGGTGGTCTTTGGTGGGTCAAGTCTAGGCCCAAAGTCTAATTTCTCCCCTCTCATCTCTCTGTCACCTCCACATGCTATCCGGGTTGCATGTGCGAGGAAGTGTTATCACACATCATCTCTCTCTAAACCACCCAAGCTTAGTTAACATACTTGAGAGGCCCCTATACTCATTGTCAATTGGTTTTGAGCTGGATGCCTTTCATTCACCCAAAATTGAGAACATTATATGATAATTGACTGCAATGTTTCAGTTGTCTGCAGCAAAGACCAAGGAAGCACCAAGGAATGAAATATTTCAAGTTGCATGCGTGTTTGTTGAGAGAGAGAGAGAGAGAGAGAGAGAGAGAGAGACGTACAATGTTTCCAAAGACTGTAAGGTTCCAAGCCATGGAGGGAAATCTGACTTGTCAAAAGTATTATTGCTTAAATCCCTGCAAGTAATATTTTGGTCAATGTAGCATGTATTGAACATACTTATGAAAACAAGATGATAGTGGGAAAGGTGCATCAGCTTCGGAAGGAGGAAAACAAGGAATTAACAAGACATCCATTAATAAAATGCTTGAGAACCATGATGGGCTTTTTTCCTAAGCAAGATTGTTACTACTTACACGTGGTTGAGAGAATTCAAGCCAGTAAGATCTGGAAAGGGGCCAGTCAGTTGATTGTTTGACAAGAACCTGAAAGTGAAAAATCAAAAGCCTCTCATAGTAAAGTCTGTAAAGCTGAAAACCTAATGCAGGATAAGCTCAACTTCCTGGAAACAAGAATAAAGGTTTTTTTTTTTTTTTTTTTTACTAAGCTTAAAATGGAATTTTTTTTCTTTTTGTCTGCCTACAGCTCATTAAATGTACAAGGTGTTGAAGTTCAACGGGATAGGTCCACCAATGAGTTCCTATCCAGGCATCCGATGACAACACTATATACTCAAAAAATTTAATGGGTATTAACAGCTAGCATCTTATTATGATTTTGATTGGGTATGTGATAGAGATACTCACAATATCTCCAAAGTCTTCACTAGCCCTAGCGTTGAAGGAATCTTGCCACTGAGTTTGTTCTTACCAAAAAGCCTGCTCAAATTAATTCACAAGATAACATTGAAATTAGTACCCAGATTGAGAGAAATGGGCTGCCAAGAAATTTAAATCCAACATTCCTCATCTTATTAATAAAAAATAAAAAAAAAAAAAAAAAAGAGCCCTCTTTCTCTCTCCTTGAAATATATATATATATATATATTTGTGAAGGAGAAAAAAATCCCAGATTAAGATTTCAAGCTCGGCACAACGAAGCCACATCAAGGGGCAAAAGGTCTGCCCATATCAAAGGATGATTTCCAACAAACAAGCTCTCAACAGTGATACTTGCCATAAGGGTAAGCAAAATTGAGAGGGAGACTCATCATATTATGCTCGTAACATATATTGTTCTCTTTTTCACCATGAAAGCTTGTTGCTTATACTTGCCATACGGGTAAGCAAACTGCATATATGCATAACCTATTGTTCTGTCATTCAAGTGCATACCAGAGACTCATGAATAAGTAGCTGGTTCAAAGGAACTCACACATGTATCAGAGACATATTTGCATTGAAAAGTTGAGATGGGATTTCACCAGAGAACTGATTTCTTCCACAATGACTGAATAATATAAAGAATCTAAGGTCATTAGTGTATGGAAATAAACAATAAATAGATCAAACTAGTTAGCTTAAATAGAGAGAGAGAGAGAGAGAGAGAGAGAGAGAGAGAGAGAGATTAGACATACAAGTGTTTTGCATTAACCAGCATATCCAGACCAGGTGAGACAGGGATAGTTCCAGAAAGCTTATTGACACTCAGATCCAGCCAATAAAGATTAGAGAGATTACCAATTGAAGGTGGAATTGGTCCACTGAAGCTGTTGGAAGGCAGAGACCTATAGAATACATAATGAAATAATTGAAATATAGGCCAAGGCATGCAATTGCACAATAAAATGCCAAACTACATTCAGTACATGCACAATTCAGTAGAAAATTTCTGAAATGGAAACATCATGATATGAATTAAAAGATTGGAATTTTTTATGCAAGATTTAAAGGACCAAAAAATGGTTCCACGATCAAATTTTTCTCTTCTTTTAAAAGCATGAAGAGGGAGTAAGTAGGTTCACCTAGAGAAATCAGAGGGTGGGAGCATTTGTTCTTGAAAGATGCAATTATTAGGATTTTATAGGAAGCCCAAATAATACATATGACCTAAATAATTTGTGGAAAGGAATATAACAATTTGCAATACTATCAAATTATCAATTGAAAATTTTGTAAATGAAATATTTAAGATCAAATTACGTAAAGAGCAGTCAATCACTGTGTCAAAAGTATGTAAAAGGTTGTAGTTAATGTCCATCTCGTTTTACTGATCATGTCAATCACTTGAGAGCATTGTTGTCAAATTGCGAATCAAATAGTGAATTGTTTTGCTAAATTAGTAAATCGTGAATTGTAAGATTCACTTTATTTAGCATAATATATAATTTTAGATATGTATATACATATAAAAATACACATATAGTGTTTAAAATGAAATAAATATCAACATAACTAAATAGTATATATGTATATACATGTAAAACCACATATATCAATATAATTAGTTGATCTCTTTTTTTATTTTGTGAAAACGATGTCGTTTCATGCATTATGCAAGCAAAACTGAATCGCTTGAATAGCAATGAATCGCAATTGAATCGGAAGATTCACTCAAATTAAGGTTCAACTACACGAATCAAACTGTGAATTGTAAAATTCTAACAACCATGGACTAAACAATTTATCTGATAACTTGAACTTATACCGAATTAATTTAGATTTCTGACATTCCATCATTATGTCAAAGAATGGAATCATGTCACAAGGAATGTGAGCCTAATAATTGCTGATACTTCCATATTAAGGTTTCACATATATTGATTCTCACAGTAAACAGAAACAACAAAGTCCAAATCCTTACAAAATGCTCAGTTGCTGCAGAGATCCTATTGTCTCTGGAATTGGACCACTGAAACTGCAACCAACCAGGATTCTGAGAAGCAAGTAGAATTGGTTTGTAACGGGGTACTGACCTTAGTAATCAATAGATTAGGCACAGTATAACAACAATCAAAAAATTTCTTACAGGTTTGATAACTTAGTCAAATTTCCAATTGATCGAGGAAGAGATCCTGTCAAACCGTTGTTGTATGATAGATCCCTATATGCACAAGCTGATAGTCAGAGGTTACTTTTAACAATTCTTATGTGGAAGTAAAGAAAAGAATAAACAAAGACAATTCCAAACAGCTATTATCAATAAAGTAGGGAACACTGTCTAGGTAGTGTTCTATACCACATCAATCAGGCATTTAAGTGAAATATGAACTGTGACACCAATCTAGTCAGTGTCACCAAGCATTTGTTTGTGTGTGTGTGTGAGACAGACAGAGAGAGAGAGAGAGAGTAGGCATTACAACAATGCAAGAAGACATATAATTATCATGTCATTATCTGTTTGGATACAAAATAATTCAGGTCCTAACAAACATTTGCGAAGACCTGAAAATGAATTCCATTATGGGCAAGAAGCTCCTAAAGAATAAAAATGAATTATTGGAGCCATTTGTTAATGCTGTCATTTTCCTGTTTTTTGTTTACAAAATTTTTCTTTCTTTTTTTTTTTTTTTTAAAAATTTTTTTTTTTTTTTTTTTTTTTTTTTTTTTGTGGTAAGAAAGAAAAACAAAAAAAAACTTGTTTGGTATACAAAAATGTTTTGAATACAAATAAAAACAAAATAGAGAAACATATTTGGTGAGTTGCCAGAGGTGGTGGCCGATGGTGGAGGGTGAATGGATGTGGTGCCTAGTGGTGGGGGGTGGCCGAACTTGATGGCTGGAGTGTGGCCAAAGGTCACGGGGTGGCTAGAGGGCCACCGAAAGGTTGCCGGAGGTCACGGTGGTGATCAGATGGTCTCTGTAGAGTCACCGAAAGCTTGCTGGAGCTCTCTGGCAGCAAGCCGCCCAGCAGTGGGGGGTGGCCCGAAGTGGTGGGAGAGAAAAAAGAAAACGAAAACTTGTTTTGAAAATAAGTGAAAACACCATTTTTTTGTTTCCAAATATTTTAGAATCATTTCATTCCTTTGAAAACGAAAACCATATACCAAACAAGTTTTCATTTTGAGTTTCCAAAAAAAAATGAATACAATTGCAGAAAACAAGAAACGGAAGTGTTAACAAATGACCATAATAGTCCACTACTCAATAGCCATGTTTGATTCACAAGACTAATAGTGAAGGTATTGATAATCCCATCAAATTAGTGTGGTATTCACTATCCAATTAGATTAGTAGGATAAATTATCCCATTGTCCATCATTTGATTTGCATTGGATTAGTAGGTAAAAGAATCATTTTATTTTATTTCCCAGCTTAGGATATATAATCTTACCCCTACCCCATTACTAATAATCTTACAAATTTGTTGGATTAATTATCCATTGGATTAATAATCTTGAAACAAAATTTCAAAACAAACATAGGATTATTAGGCGTACGGATTAATAATTTCAATCTCATGCTCTAGATAGAGCCTATGAGGAGCACTGTTCAATTATATAGAACAAGGGGAAAATTTCCCATCAGCACCTCGCATAGAATGAAGGTTTTCCCATTAGTCTTGAATGAATAACACTAACTGAATGATTCTCTGCAAAATTAATTGGAACTGGATCTATTCACGAGAGAATAGGGATAGAACAAATAGAAGACCTACAAAGTCCGTAATTCAGACAACCCTTGAATGTCTCCGGACAGCTGACCAGTCAATCCCATGCTGGCTAATGTTCTGGAATTGAAACTTAAAGTTAACCTCTTAATTCTCAAAAGTAGAAGAAGCAACTCTCCATAAGCATTAAAGGTAAAACACAATAGGAACTTACATAGATGTCACACGTGAATTGGTGCAACGAATTCCTTCCCAACTGTCGCCACATGGATCCGATCCAACCCAATTGAGTGGTGTGTTGTTCCAGATTTCTTTGAGAGCATTTAGAGCAGCAACTGCGTCGGACATAAATTAACTTTACCCAAAATTTTTATCAGGATTAAGGAAAGCCAATGCATGGAACATGAGAACCCAGCAATGGCCAGTAATCCAAAAACAAAAGGAACAGCTAAAAGTACTCGTCTTATCATATTTTGTTTGATTAAGTACTTTCTAGTTCAAGGTACTATCTTGGCCATTTAATCAAGACCATTTGATACTTCAGTTAAAGAACTCAAACATCCAAGGCTTGCTTCTGAGTGACCACAAAACAGTATGCAGGATGAGAATTTGTTGCTAAACCAGATAAACACGGTAGTTGATAAAAAAAAAAAATCACTTTGGAAAGTAGTTAACACGCAGCAGATATGCAACTATGTATTCTAGAGATTTTATCTACAAAGATCTAGTCCTTTGCATGCTTAAATCCTTATGGGAAAAACCGTACTCAAACTTTGAATCTCAAATCTACTGTCATTTGGAAGCTAAGAAAAGACATCCACTAGTGAAAATCACTCAGAAACAACAAAAGACAAATATATATATATATATATGTATTTATATATTCATTTTCTATCATCGCCTTTTATCAGCAATCACCCCGAGAGTAAATAAGGTGTTGTGTGAAGAGAAAGAAACTAGAAAGAGGTCTAGCATATGCCATCGTACATTCAGTGCACAAATTATTTGTGTTTCTGAAGGATGCATTATCTAACAAGCAAGTCTGCATTCTTGTTTGTATTAATCAAGGCACAGAAAAACTAATAACATATATAACTAGTGAAATCAATTAAGTAAAAACTTGGACACAAGAATTGAACTTACAGTCCAGATTATTCATCTGTGCTCCTACGAGTAAATTTTGGACGGAAATAACCAGCAAACAGACCTGAATTCTTGATCCCATTATTCAACAAAGAACCATATAGACTCTTGATTAACTGAATTACAATGAACACATCAAAACCAGTCTTCTTTCATTCAGTTCCGCTGTTGATTATTAGAACTCTTCAAGAGACTTTTCCATGATAATGATACCCGTATACTCTCTTTAAACATATTCAAGATGCACATAATAACAATGTTTTCCATGATAATGATACCCGTATACTTATCCTCAAGTTTTCCAACTAAATATATCTAATATATCCCAAAAACACTGAAAGCTGATAGATATACATTTAGTGGTTCAGATTAATTACAACGCAACTCCTATACACCAGGACCTATTTTTGACCATATAAGAAGAAGAAGAAGGAAAAAAAAAAAAAAGGAAACAAAAAGAGCCAGGTGGGCTTATTGATTAATTGTTGACTCCAAAGTCAACAACATTAACTAATTTTAAATATATATAGAAATAAATAAAATTAAGAGAAATCTACCAGTCTTGGTAGGCTTTCGATAAATGAGTTTTTTTCAAGAAGATGGCATTCGATATATTGATTGTTCATCAGAATAGTTAAGGAATTATTTTCAAGCATTCAATCAAGTTGTCAACTGTACATTCAACCAAGTTAAGGAATTATTTTCAAGTATTCAACCAAGTCAAGGAATTGTTTTCTTCTTGGGTCATTTTCTTTCAAGCATTCAAACAAGTTGGCAACTGTACATTGTCATAATCACAACATGCTAAAGACATTTTAAGGGATCGTAAATATAAAGTGAGTTGGTAAATGAGAGTGAAGTGTATATATCAGAATAGTTATATAGACATAATATATCTCTTAGACCATATCATATATACTGATTTGCATCTTTTTTTGTATTGATTATATGCTTGAATTCTTCTTCTTCTTCTTGAACATATTTTGTACTCTTACATTAACTTTTTGTATTGATTACATACTCCAGTAATTTTCTTTTTGGCTGATAAGAAGCCCCAAACTTTGGCCTCTTTGCCAATATGACACAATCCCACTAGCTACGTGGTCTGTAGTTTCAATGACATCTCAATAACCATAAAGGTGCATACCTTCTCAGTAACAATAAATGTGCAGCTTCCAATTTATCACATTCAGGATTACATTGGTTAGCTCCATTCTCTTTTCCATGATCAATCCAGTTCTCGAATAATTGGAGCACAAAATCGATCAGTAAAGAAGAATCACAACAAACATTGCAGTAATACTACACACCTAGAATAACTACCCCAAATATGAAATGTGCTAACAAGATTTAATTTAGTCTCAGTGTAGCCCACACCACTCTAAGTTTGAATCTATATCATGCACTTTATTTTCTGCATATTCTTTTGGGTGTGTACATTTTCCACAAACCTTTAGGCTATATTTGAATAATAAGTTCGGATAGGGATTTGTAAAGGGAAAGTAAATGGAGAGAAAACTATTAATGAAGTATAAACTAATTTTGTTCGGATAAACTCTCCTCCATACTTCATTTCTCCACAACAATTCATACCCCTCTTGCGGGCTCTAACCGGGTAAACACAGATGAGCCAAACCGTCTACTTCATAGGTCTCACAATAAAAATTATTCATGCAAAAAATAGCTTTATCGAACAATTATAAATACAGGAACAATCGCATTTTATCTTATAAAAAGGATGGTTTATGTTTTACAATCACCTTTATTATTCATTTTATAAAACAAAATGTGATTTGTTCCTATGTTTGCATATGTCCAATGAAATTAATTTTTTGCATGAATGACCTTTGCAGAACCTACAAGGTAGATAGTTCGGGTCATACAAATGGGTCCGAATTTGGGCCCACAATAGGGGTATAGATGAAAATGAAGAAATGAAGTTATAAAGGGAAGCAAATCTCAATTTTATTTCACATTCCCCTCCCCTTTTCTTTCCCATCCACAAATCCGTAATCTAAACACAGCATTAAAAACCCACTAATGAAACTTCTTAATTTGGGATGAACTATACAATATACATTCCAATAAAGATTCAATGATCCAAACAAGAAAACACATAAATTGCAAGAATTGCAGCACTATGGCGCTGTTTGGGAAGTTGGGTTTTGGATTTTTTTTTTGTTTTTTTCACTAAAAGACAAATTGGTTACAAAACCAAAAAAACAAATCCAAACAAAATATCACATCAAATCCCATAATCATTTCACTTTTTCTCTCACAAACATCACATCCAATTACAAAAAAACCCAACTATCTTTCCAAACACAAAAAATTTTCTCCAACAATATCCTACAACTAAAAAAATCTACAAAAAAACCCACTTCCCAAACACCCACTATGTGAAACAGGAGGAAACAAATAAATATAGAAACATGGCCATATAAAAAGGTTGCATTCAAAATATTCATAAACCCTACCTGGGAAAAACTGTTATGAAGAATAACACACTATCATCCTTTTTGTCCCTATGTAGGGTTTTAAAATGAAAAATAAAAAATAAAAAATTGATGGATTTACACACAAGTCCTAATTTATGAACTTATATTTTATTAAGTTCCAACTAAAATTTTTTGGACGTTCAAGCCCATTAAATTTTTAACAGTCAGAATTACCCTTCAAATAATGATTGTTCATCATTTATGATTATTTATAAAACAATATAATAATTTGACATTTATTTTGATTTTCAAAACTTTAAAACATCAACTTTCAAATTAAAAAAATAGGAAAAAATTATGTGCAAAAATATATATATATTTTGAAGAAAAAATAAAAGAACTGAATTATTTTTTGTGCAAAACTGAAAATTTTGTATTTATGAAGAAGTATGATGATGGAATATTGATGTGCAAAACTGTAAAAATAAATAAATAACTTTTAAAAATAAAAAATAAAACTAATAATGTTCTCAGTTTTAAACCTGGAAAAACTATTAATATTCTTAGTTTTATTGGGTAGTTGAATTAAAACAATAAGTGGAAGGGAAAAAACTCTTAATCTCTCTTTTTTTTTTATACAATTATTTAGAACATTTATAAAATTAATATTATTCTTAATTTTAAAAATTGAGAAATTTGTTTAAAAAATCATAAATAAGATCTCATCTACCATTACATTCGTAAATAAGACTTTTAAGTAATTAATTAAAAAAAATTCAGAGACCCATTCACAAAAACATCTGAATTTAGGACAAAACAAGTGACGTATACATATGTGCATGATCAATCTGAACAAATAGAAATTGAAACAGACCCTGGAAACCAGAGAGTGACACCTCCAAGACTCACGAAGCTGAACCACATACTTACCTAATCACATTAAAGACAACCAGACAGCTACCTGCCCGTACTCATTTTTATTGATATTCAAGACAAGTCTAGATTCTCTGGAGTGATTCTAGTAATGTTTTGGGACACTAGAGGACACTAGAACCACCACAGAGGATCCAGACTTGTCTTGAATATAAATAAACCCAAAAGAAAAAAATTCTGAAAAATAAGAATTGGAAGCAGAAGCAGAGCCCTTTCCCCTTCCACTTCGGCGAGAAGACTTGCAACAATTGATTCAAGCCACTAAACACCACTGAAATTTCTTGATTATTTATCTCTCTCTCTCTCTCTCTCTCTCTCTTCATTTTTCAGATTGTTGAATGTTGGACCAACAATGCAAATTTCAATTCAAACAAATTAAGGCCATTAATGAATAATTAAGGTATTATTATGTTGATTCAGGAATCTCAACCCAAAAAGCAGCAAGCTAGCTCACCCCAGGAGTTTGGTGAGGAACCAAACCCAAGAAGAAGAGAGACACAGGGGAGAACAACAAAAAAACCAACAGACCAATAGCAGACCAATCATAAGCCAACATCAGAAAGACCTCCACAGCAACCTACGCATAGCAAAACACCCAATACACTTCAAAGCCCACAGAACAGCCCACTTAGCTGACAGCAGCCTACAGAGAGAGAGCAAGCAAAACATATACTCTCCCACAGCATCAACCAGACTTTATGCATCCAACAACAGGACAACCACACCAGAACTCCACTGAATCTATGCACTGTACCAAGCAAATTATATCCAAGAGTAACTGCCTTAGGACAGTGCCATGATTACTAGCAGATGAGGTAATACATCACTTCTCAGCACCCAACAGAGCAGCATTCCATTTCTGATGCATCACTCCTGATTACTAGCAGATGAACAACTGAACAGAGGCACACTTAAGCCCACTGTCCTCCAAAACCACTGTCCTCTGTACTCTAGCAGATTCGCAACCAGATTAGCAACCAAAACAGACATCAACATATATCAGACAGCAACATAATGAACCTGGTGGATGCATCAAGGCAGCAACATACAGCAGACAGCAACATTCATCCTCAAAACCACTGTCCAGTGAATGCATCAAGACAGCCTATGCCCAGCTCCCCTGCCTTAAACAATAGTGAACCTGCTGCAAATTAAAAACTATATCATTAATGGAGAACTCCACTTTGGCTGGGGAGGATTTTATCCACGAGGCGATTCTTACTTTGACAACCTCACATAAATCTTCTAAATTTGGTTGAGCACCATTAAAGATGCAATCATTCCGATGCTTCCAAATGGACCAAAGGACAGCCATAGGCACAACCTTCCACATCACTTTCTCAAGCTTCTTCATCTTGCAAAATGACAACCACTGCAATAGCCCTTCCACTGAATTTGGCATCACCCACTGGACACCCCACCACTTCATAATCTGAGACCACAGTAGCCATACAAATGGGCAAAATAGCAAGATATGGTTTACCGATTCCACCTCATTTTGACAGAAAGAACAGCTAACATTGGCAGCCTCATCTAGAATCCCAATTCTTTGGAGATAGCTGGATGTTTTCAACTTGCCTAACCAAGCCAACCACCCAAAGAATTTAACTTTTGGTGGTGCACAGTTGTTCCATACTTCCCCTGACACTATCCTATCAGGACCCAATAATGATTCACATGTTCTATAACCTGAAGCAACAGAATACATCCCAGAGGAATTAGCCCTCCACATCCATATATCGGGCGACAGGACCCTCACAGCCGGTGCACTCCTGAGTACGGTATGTAACCTATTCACCTCCTCCTCTTCCCAAGCCAACAGAGGTCTCCTAAACTCGAAAATTTAAACACAACTCCCCAGCCCATTTATCCCTCCAGAATTGTGCTCTCCTACCATTCCCCAAAATAATTGCAGAGTTTTCAAGATAGAAATTATGTAATACAGGCTTAGAGGTAATTGCATTAACTATGTCAGACCAAATTTTTGAGCCTCTCCCACTTCCTTCCAAATCTGGCAGCCATCTTCCACCCCCCATGTTATATTTTGAGCATATGACTTCCTTCCATAGCGAGTGATTTTCCACCCCAAACCTCCACCACCATTTCAGTAGGAGGCACTTATTCATATCAGTGATTCTTCTGATTCCCAAACCTCCCAAAGTTTTGCTCTTGGTAATATTCTCCCAACTAACCATGTGAACTTTCCTTCTTAAATCTGATCCCCCCCAAAGAAACTTAGCTTGAATTTTGTCAATTTCCTTTGCCACCCCCTCGGGTATTTTGAACAATGACAGATAATAAGTAGGCAAGTTGCTCATAACGGATTTAATTAAAGTCAGCCTCCCAGCAAACGATAGCAGCCTTCTCTTCCATGTGGATAATTTTTGCTTAAGTTTGTCCACAACTGGCTTCCAAGTGCTTAACCTGCTAGGATTAGCTCCTAGAGGTAACCCAAGGTACTTAAAAGGCAATTTTTGGTGAACACAATTTAATTTAGCTGCAAAACTTTGCATCAGACCCTCCTCTACTCCAATGCCAGCAATCACACTCTTATGATAGTTAATTTTCAGCCCCGAAAGAATTTCAAAGCACCTGAGAATTCTTTTAATTGTCACCACTTCCACCCACTCAGCTTCGCAAAATATAATTGTATCATCGGCGAATTGTAGATGCGTAACTCTTACCCCATTATTACCAATGGCAACTCCTTGGATTAAACCCATTTCCTTGGCTCTCTCAAACAGAATATTCAACCCCTCAGCCACTATATTGAATAGAAGAGGTGAACCACATACTTACCTAATCACATTAAAGGCAACCAGACAGCTACCTGCCCGTACTCATTTTTATTTATATTCTAGTAATGTTTTGGGACACTAGAGGACACTAGAACCACCGCAGAGAGGATCCAGACTTATCTTGAATATAAATAAATCCAAAAAACAAAAATTCTGAAAAATAAGAATTAGAAGCAGAAGCAGAGCCCTTTCCCCTTCCACTTCGGCGAGAAGACTTGCAACAATTGATTCAAGCAACTAAACACCACTGAAATTTCTTGATTATTTATCTCTCTCTCTCTCTCTCTCTCTCTCTTCATTTTTCAGATTGTTGAATGTTGGACCAACAATGCAAATTTCAATTCAAACAAATTAAGGCCATTAATGAATAATTAAGGTATTATTATGTTGATTCAGGAATCTCAACCCAAAACAATCCAAGTTTT